CTATAGAAATAGGTGAAAAGTCCCAATAATGTGATCAACAGAGATTAATTACAACAACAGGACACACTACGTCGTGACCCTTGATTGACTTCCAATGAATGGTTGCCTATAATAAAACTACCTTCGCTGTAATGGATTTGTTTTGTTATTTTGTACTCTGTACCGTGTCAGAACTAACCCGCCTTGAGCTAGTCTTAATATACATATGTGGGATCACGATTCAAATCCCAGACGAGCCCCCAATACTGTGGCGATCAAGAAGCGCTGGATACCGAATAATAACTGCATTACTCAATTTTGAATCTTAATTTCAGGTTTTTATTAAAAAACTAGCTTTTGCCCGCTATTTTGGTCGCGTGGAATAGTGACTTCAGTTTCTAGCAGATTTTTGGTTTAAAAACTATCCTATTTTCCTTCTCGAGTTCCAAACTATGTCTCTACCAAATTTCACAGAAATAGGTTCAGTAGTTTATGCGTGAGGAAAAGTCAGACAGAGAGACAGAGTTATAATAGCCTCTTTTATCGTGTACGTCATGCAATCCAGCAACTTCAGAATTCCAGAAGCTGTTTTTCTCTCACTCACCCATTCGTTCGGAAGCATCCATCATGTCACACATATTGGTCGTTCTAAAATCTTTAATGCCACACATATGTCATTACAACTCCATGTGAGATAAGATCTTTGCTCAGCAGGAGAGATTGGGCAATGATGACCATGTACTCTGCGCCTTAAAGCCAGGACAAGACCCTGTGTCCTGTTTTAATGAAATGACTTCCCTCGTTCAGACTGAGGAGAGAGGGAGTGTCAGACTTTTAGTGACTTAAACCTTATCGTTTCTTTTTCTGTTCTAGGCTGAGGCAGCGGAAACTTATGGCGTTGGATCTGCAATTCGGCTGGTACCCAGTATGTAACTATACCCTGTTCTCTGTATGTTAATGAGATCATTAATGTTCAGGGCAATGTGTTTCTTATTAAAATAATATTATATTTGTCTATACTTATACATTATTGTATTGAGTCTTTGTTTTGGTCTTTAATCTTTAAAAATTTTTGCTGCTTGCGCTCACCGTTTTTACTCATCTCTCATCACCCAAAAGTCAAACGGGTAGATAATGCCTACGGCATTAAGTCTGCCTATGTACAGAAGTTTATGTGCATAAAGCTTAAATAAATAAGTATTATCATTGTAAATAAAGGTATGGTTTGAAACAATAATTGTCTGTTTAAAGTTTCCGTTTGTATTTGTTCTAAGTTTTTGTTTGAATTCTAATTGATATTTTGTTATTACAAAATTATTATTATTTATTTATGGAAACAGATACCTACGAAAATGTTGCATATTTTTTTGTTAGTGAACCGTAAATGTTTCATTGAGAAAATATACATTTTGGTATACCGCCTTTTGTAATACTTTTTATGGAATAATCTATCTTTTATCTCCGATTAATAAAACCTCTCCAGTACCTACTGACAAATAGATTACAAAGTAGTAGGATTACTCTTAATTTAGACAATTTATAACAGAAAATAATAATCTTATTTTGCCTAGCACCACTAATCCTTCGCAAACTATTACCATTACATAACAAAGCGAGTCTTTAATCCTCATAATAATAACGTAGCAAGTTTGCACTTTACACTCTCGGTGTAAAATCCTTTATCTGGACGACAAACGACAAGCACGCCCTCTGGCGGTCGCCGGACGAAACTGTTTGCACGTCGACAACATTCGATATTGAGTTGGTCCAACTTTGCCTGCGTCTGGCTTTAGAACTAGATATTTGTGACTATGTCTAGAATACAACTTGGTATTTTAATGTCTGGTAAAATTATGAGTATATTCAGTACCGTTCGCGTTTACAATGTTTTGTAGGTATTGAGTTTGATAATAAATGTTTATTTAGAGGATGGTTAAATTAGTCGCAAGCTTAATTAAGACATTATTTAATCAGATGTTCTCATAAAAACATTTCAAAATATATTATATTATTATTTAAAACATCTCTGAACGGGCAATTCTTGTATGTATACTCATATGATATATATTCATGGGATTTTGGAAACGGCTGTTACGATTAGTATAAAATTTGGTATGCAAAGGTGTTTGCGGACGAATAATCAATCTAGGTTTCATTTCCAAAAAATAACTGTTCATGCTTGGTCATCCAGGTAATATTAATTAACCTTTAATTGTTGAATGTACGACGTACGAGTAAATAAAAAAAGAAAGTTTTTCTTCATAATACATATGTTCTCACCACATACATTCCAAAAGTTGTTATATCATCATCATCATCAGCCTATAAGTGCCCACTGCTGAGAAAAGGCCTCTTCTCATACGGAGAAGGTTAGAGCATTAATCACCACGCTTGCTCAATGCGATATATATATAATAGATTATAAATAGGAATTTTAAGTCCAGGTTTCCTCACGATGTTTACCTTCACTGTATGTCAGTGGTGTCTAAATAATCATAGAAAGTACATATAACTCGGAAAAAGTCACATTAGTACTTGCCAGGTTTCGAACCCACACCCTCATGCATGAGAAGCGGGTTCCTTACCTCCGGGCCACCACGACATAAAGTTGATAGCATGCTGAAAATCGGCTTTAAAATATAGCTGTTGCTTAGTACTTATATAAACAGTAGTTTCATCAGTGAATCTTTTCAACCAACTAGCTAGTACAACTCGTATTTATAAAAAGGTATTAATTAAAAACGGAATTCCATTACCCATGCTATTCCATATCTACTAGCAGTAATGAATCTGAATCACAACTCTATTTACACTCGGCGAAGAGGGTGCCAAAATAAGAATGGTTGAAAATTAATGGCTTCCCTGACGAGAGAGAGGTTTTTAATTTTCGTTTGATGAAAATTGTACAGGATGCTTGTTTTTACTCGTCATTCGAAGCGAGGATTATAGTCGCATATGATTTACGTGAAGAGTTTTTATACAGGGTGTTGTTTGTTATGTTTTTGTAATATAATCGTTTTGGGAGGGTTACAGGGATTACGGAGGTGGATTTAATTTGCGTAATGTTTGAAGAATACTAATGTTTTTGGTCATAGCAAACAATTAATTTTTTGACTTACTCATATGTCATTTGTAGATAGACAACCTATATCTGTATAAGGAGTCAATCGTAATTGGATCAGTAGTTTTTGTGTTACATACAAAAAAATCTACACAAACCTTTAAAATGCTCGACAATATTGTTGTGTGTATTTACGATATAATTTTCTTTTACAATTTGATTCATGATACATGTTATTTATCCTTGTAAGCAGTGGAGCAGTAAATCAAATAATATTGCTCGTACGTTGGCAAGCAACCAAAAATACGGCTTCCCTTAGAACAGAGTTTACTCTGGCACTCAGAGCAGGTAGATTAGTACACGGAACTATGGCTTCAGATTTTTCCTTAGCTCTCACAAAGAAATTATGAAATAGAAAATTAAAATTGTGTGTTATAAGGTTTATACTAAAATGCACCTTATGATTATTTAGTTTGATGTTATTTTCCCTAAATCTTATGTTTATATTGAAAGCCTTTTTAAGGTTTTCAAGTTACTAATGTCTTCTTAGTTTGAAATCTAAAATTAATCTTCTTTTGTTTTATTATTGCACTTGGCGTGGCGTTAATAATCTTCATTATTAATTAGTTTTTCTTTGTCTTTATATTTTCTTTATTTGATTTTATAATGTTGAATGTTTTTATTTTTTTGTTTTACTTGCTTTTATGTATTTCTTATTGTGTTTAACTTTTCTTTTACAATTTATTATCCATGTAGTTTTTAATACTGCACGGTTGGCGCGGTGGATCGCGGGTTCGATTCCCGCAAGGAATAACTCTGGCCGTGTATGTGAATTTGTATGTTTGTAAACGCCCACGGCACAGGAGAAAATCCTTGGGTGGGGCAACGTTTTTTTTTTTAAAAATGTTTTTTTTGTGTCTTTTGTTGCACCAAATAAATGCTTTATTTAGTTATAGTAAATAATATATAATCTATCAATATAATCACAAAAATAACGATATTTTTCATAGTAACTGTTTTAAAATCATGTCAAAGCTGTGCCCCAAAAAAATTACCGCACAGCGCACAGGTGACTGACTTTAACATACAATATAAATGAAGTAATAAACGTCCGATAAAAAGCAACTCGAACGAAAATATCGAAAATAAAAATATATGAATAAAATCGACATTTGAATTCACAGAAAGTTATTTTTGGGCGCACGCTCCGGCCCGTTTAATAATGCAACGGCTCGAGCCTTCCGAATCACTTCACACTGGCTATAATGAAAATTCCGAAATATCGATATCGATATCGTAACACGTACACCCCTATCTGTTATGATATTGGCGTCATAACAGAAAACCGTTTCAATTCCAAACTAATTCTCTCGAATATAGGGCTGTACGTATTATAATCGCGTGATTCGAGTTGAATGAATCGATTTGATCGAGTCGTATGTTCGTTTATTCTGAGTTAATAATTAGGAAGAGGAAATTAAATTCGTAAGCAAAGATATTTAGAAGGGATATATTATTATAGGAGTTAATTAATGTGTGTACGTGGTAAACAAACATGTTTTTATGTTTATTTTTGGTTATAATCCAAATAGTGCGCGGAAATTCCTCATTGATAGTGTGGGAGCACCATGATTATGTACGAATGGGTTGAATTGACCGGAGTAATAGTACGGCCTCACAGAATACCGGCGTGAAACAACCACAGCGTTGTATTTCGCCGTGTGAGAGGGGTTACCGGAGCCCGATCATACCCCTCCCTCCATCTTTCTCTAAATTTTAAATTTCCGAAACCCTAATCACCAAAAGTCCAGCAACACACTCGTAACTCTACTGGTTTTGTTAGTGTCCATGGGCGGCGCCGATTGCTTACCATCAGGTAATCCGCTTGCTAATTTGCTGAAATATCACATAAAAAAAGTTTCCTTTTAGTTTTAAAGATAATAATAAGCAAGTTACATACCTTCAGTGGTTTCTGCTAACGTGGCGACGAAAAGCGCTAACAGCGCCACCGCCCACGAAACCCGTCTCATCTGAAACAAAAATATAATTATATATTACCAGGACAAAAGAGTAAGGACTTATGTAACATTTAAAAATGGATTAACTAAGTTGGTCTTTACTATACATACGAATAAAGTGCACAATCAGGATAGAATACATTGCCGTCTCTTTTATTTTCGTAGGTGATGGATGCTCGACTCAGGTAATACGATCCTATTTTTATTATAAATGTGAAAGTTTTTTTTATAATGTATGGATGTATGCTTGTTTTTCTTTCGCAAAAACGGCTGGGCCGATTTGTCTCTACATAGCTGGATTAGCACATAGCCGCGAAGCCGCGACCAGAAGCTATGATAAAATATTTTAGTTTCTAAAGATATGAATTGACTGATAGATTTTATTATTATAGATTTATTTTAGTCTTCTTTGCGTTGAAAGACAAGTCTTCAAGAAAAATTCTATTATTTGTTTATTGATCGAAGACTAGGTAAACCTAAACGTCAAATTTAACAAAAGAAAAATATAAAAAAGAAAAAATCACACAATCCAACCCTATTTATTTCATCATGGCCTAACAACCGCAGAGTCAACAAAATCAAAGGTTCACACATCCAATGCGCAGTGTTACCCACAAATAAATAAAATAGTTAAACTTTTCAAATTGGATCAAATATTTGTGAACCAAACCAATGTTTGTTTCAATATTAGACTTATAATGAAATCAATACTAAATAGACATTGAAACAGATTGTCAAAACAGCTGCTTAGTATAAATATTTTATTTTAAAATGTTATACATTATTTTTTTTATTCATGACCTGTTTCTGTTTCACTGTAAGATTGACTGGAACGGCCTTCGTAATTAAGTCCACCATTGTGCAAAAAGTGTTTAAATAAATAAATATATAAAACAAGTTTTATTATGAAACTAGTATCTTATCGTGTGTAGGTACGTTTACAAACATACGATTTAACATACACACAACGACACAAGAATCTGTGGATGACACAAAGAGTTATCGCAGATGGGAATGAAATCGGCAACAAGTAAAGCTCTGGCTATGTAGGTGTCCATTGTTTTTTTTGCCATCAGGAAAAATGACGACACGTTGACCACCGTATCACACAAAGAAAATTACGGTTGGCTACACGCTTTTCATTCATCACCAATAATATCTAAAACCACTTTAAAAAGTTACTGTAAACTAAATTACTAAGCAAAACATCTTGATTGATTTCCAAAAAGTACTACATCTGCCTAATTCTCATAAGGTTTAAAGCCAAAAAACAAAGAAACTGAACTAAAATATGTATATATTTATAGAGTTAGGAAACTCCCCGGCTCACCTTCAATTAGTCCTATTTACAGACTCGGATCCCCTTCATTTAGTATTTTACGAAGAAAAGGTTGATTTCATGATTTACTTTCCTTTTGTATGAAAAACTTTGTAGTATATCTTGCATGTTTTAGTGAATCATTTATAAGAAACAATAAATATTTGGATAATAAATGGTGCGATTAATCTCACTAGCTATGGCGAAGCGTTCAGCCCCCAAAGCATTCTTCGAGCGACGTAATAAGCCAATAACTCCACAACCCTTTTGATACTATCAAGGGGAAATTTTCTTTGGCCCACAAAATTCGCTTTTCAAGTTTTCAACTCACAGAATTTTCTACAAGCATTTTATTCGAGCATTCGTAGAGAGCGCTACGCGACCGCTACGAGAGCGTAATTGCTACGAGGCTACGAGGCTACGGGCTACGCCATGATTGCGCGTCGGACCGCGTTCAGCGGTAAACCGACAGTTTTATATTAATTGACTTCTTTGTTTTATTTCACTGGCAACACTAACTTTTAAATGTGGCCGGTTAAATTTTGATGACACGTTTCAATCTGTGCTTTAAAGGAGCAGTTAAAAGTTTGCTGCGCTGAACGAACGAACGGTAAAGACTTGTAATTATTATAGCTAAGTAAGGACATTCAAATTTGCTGTTGAAATGTAATGAAAGCGAGGAGTGTCTGAAGAAAACGTTACATTATAGCGTTCAATCTTCTGCGTATAGATTTCAATGAGACTATGTTTTTTCACATTTTATTTAAATAAACGTGTTATTATGTACTATGCGATAGAGGAGAGCGCAAAGCTATTGCTAAATTAACCCTCATCATCGTCATCAACATCAACCATAAGTCACAACATAGTCAGTATAAAACCGGTTCAAAGCGACATGTCCATGCATGGTGCAGGAAATCTTTTCACGAAAAGAAGAAATCGATCGTCCTCATTCAGACTTGCTTTTCCTTATATCAAAGAATCGAATAATAATTGATACTATTTATTTATCACTTTATTTTTAAGAATGCTGGTTACCTGTAATTGGCGACTGTATAAGGCCAAAACCTAATGTTTCATTGTTTTATTTAATTTGCTATATACAGAAGCTGTTGGTGTACCTTTTTTAAATAAATAAATAAATAGATATTACTTACAAGTAGTTCTAAATTCAAAACGTAATAAGGTAAGGTGTACACTGGCACACAGCGTACACACACTACTGCTCCCGACTGTACATAAGGTCCCGGTACACTGAGCCGCATATTACTTGCATTACAACCATTACGGCAGTAGCCGCAACGGTTTTATGTGCGGTGACCCGTTCACTGCGTCTGCCCTGATACACTGCGAGCTACTGTATAGTGACGTCATTGTACAGTACTCGAGTAGTATCGATGTGAGTGATTGGTTCGTCGGTTGGTGATTTAAACTTTTATGTGGGATGGATTTTAAACTGGTCATGATTTTGAAATTGGATTGTGTGATAGTTGTATGTATTGTATTCTTTGACTGGGCGAGAGAGAGAGAGAGAGAGAGAGAGAGAGAGAGAGAGAGAGAGAGAGAGAGAGAGAGTGAGAGAGAGAGAGTCGGTTTTTGTCTGACAACACCCCTTCCGTTCCTTCTTTTGCCCCTAGCCGGGCCGAGGTCCATATTATTTGCGTTTACATCCGCAATCCCGAGTAGATTTCTTAGTAAGGTAGGTCGAAATTAAAAAAAAACTGAGCGTATGTGTCCTCCATTCCCTCTAGTAGGCCATTAGTTAGAGGACACGTCTTTGTCTTCAACAAAATGACATCGTCTTCATTATAACAAGAAATCAAAATATCGTGTTCTTTTCCTTAATCCAAATATAACATTCCACCTTTAATTTATGCATATACTTCTGCTAATATTTAGGCTCAAACATAGATGTAATTGTGTCCAAAGTTAACTGCACTTCACAACTACTAAACTTGCGAGTCGAATCGATATCCTTTAGGAGAGTTACTCCGTTGTATCCCAGCCCTACATAATACGCAGCGCACGTGTATAAGCGGCTTGATTACACAGACCAAACTCACTGTTTATACATGAATAATTAAAGTGAACGTATCACAATAGCCGCGACTTTGCATCAAACGAGGCATACAGCTCGTCAAAGCAGTAAAGGTAGTAAGGTCGTTTTGCTATTTGTAACATGTTTTAAGAATTTTGAATGTAATAACTTACAAATAGGACAACGTAAAGTTCATTATGTTATAACAAACTGACTATATTTTGTTGTCACACCAAGTTGGAAGAAAAGAGAGAAGAAAAGAGCATATTTTTTTCACGTTTAGTTATTACATTTACTTCAGTTATTAGGAATAACAAAATACGCATCGAATTGAGAACCTCCTCTTTTTTGAAGTCGGTTAAAATGGTTATAGAGCCTAGCCCAGAATTATTTCACAAAACTTTATTAAACTGATAATGATATTATTGTAATTATTCATTTTGCACCGCCTATTTTAGATTACCATTAAAGTTTGTAGACTCCGGTATAAGTTATTATTTTTATTTATAAATAAACATTCAATCAGCTTTTGATACGGATTTTCAACAGAGTATCATATATCGGAGCCTATTTGTTTTAAAATTGCTCCAAATATTTGATTTTCTCTTTTGTGTATAACAAATTGTGGAACAGACAAATGCTTGGCCACCGCGTCAACAGGCAGAAAACCTTGTTTGTAGACACAATTCTAATGTTTAAAATTCGGTAACGCACTTGTAACTCATTTGGTGTCGTTGCTGTAAATGGCATTGGTATCTACCATCAGGTATACCGTCTATTTCTTTATTCCTTGTAATTTATACCTATTAAAAGACACAATGAAAACTAAAATATACTTAACCCTAATACTAATTAACCAGAAATTGAGCCAACGACAAAATGGCAAACGAATAACTCTAAATTTAACTTGAGTCTGTAATTTCATAGTCATTTCAGTCTCCTACTACTTTAAAATGATTCAAATACGCCAAAAATAGTAAATATGTAACTTGATGTATTTCTCGGAAAACGTAAAAAGCCTGATTGCGTTCAACCTTGGAAAGGTCAGGGACGAGATTGGTACCTAACTTCAGATTGTAGTACACTTAGAACGAAATATAAAGAATTAATTTTTATAGATTGTTTTTTTTATTACTAGAATTTTAAATGTGTGTGTTGTGAGTAGGTCGTTAGAGCGACCGCTGAGCAAGGGATTTTAAGTTCATTTCCCGAGCCGAACAAAGGATGGGTGATTTTCGGTTTTTCGAAAATTTTATATAGTTGTTAGTTGGAGATAGTTGTAGGTTGTGGAGTGTATAGACATTTTTTTTTACTTTGGAAATGCGTGTGATGTCACTTCATCTTTAAAACCAAATAATAGTTTTATATTTTATTATGTAAACATGTACCTATTATAAGTGGTTTGCCCTTTGTATCAACGTAAAAAATAGCCTATGAGTTATCATAGACTATGATTTATCTTCATGCCAAATTCCATTCGGATCAGTTCGTAATCAATGTGGAAGAGTAACTTTGTAAATTTCACGTCTATTTTTTTATCTGTAATATGAAGCCTGTTTAATAACACGTGCAAACCTCTATTTGGAAAACAAATCTTATTCATATATGCAGTGAATATCAATTGCCTCTGCAGATAGAAATTATATGAATATCTCC